GAGAAGCCCGCCCCCCCCCCCCCTTACCCTGTTGGGGAGAAAAACCACAATTCGTGAGGGAGAAATAAATTATATGTACTGTATTTTCTACATTTTAATAGAAAATTGTCAAACTTTGAGGGGCTTTTCCGATAGACCATTTCCGATATATTTTGAGCAACTCCCGTCTACACCCAGTTTTCTCCCTCTGGACATCTGCAGTGATGGATCCGATAATTCACAATAAGGGGAGCAGAGAGGGGCTTTCACAGATGTAGGATGTATACCACCTCAACCCAACCATAGATGGGGCTGAGGTACGGTAAGTAAATTTATGATTATTGCCGGAAATTGCTCTCTCAGACTTACTGTAAATTGTAAGTGTGGGAGGCCCTCCCGATTTCCGGGAGACTCTTGCAAGTTCCGGGAGGCTTGGGACCTGCTACTCTGTCTGACTGTGTGAAATGTGATGTGAAGAGTGATGTACTGGCCTAACCAAAATAGCTTAACATTTTTAGAATAAGAATATAAAATTAGTCTTTCATAATGCTGTATTTAACTTTTAAAATGTGATTGAATGAATAAAAAATACACAAAGAAGCAAGACCGTTTCAATGAAATCTTTATTAAAGAAATATCAGTTCTATAGTAGCTAGGCCTATAGCCTTGCTTTTAAGACCATAAGTTGTCATCCAGAATTTCGCAAATTTTTGTGATCATTGTTTTATCGCGAAAATTAAAGGCGTGCAAACAAAAAGGGCTGTACAATATTCATAATATGATAATAATAATTCTGCTGTATTTTTCCATGCAATGATTTCTCAATAACTAATAGCTTATTATCATTAGTCAATCAGACAAATTATCAGTTACAGTAGTTCATTCATTTTACAGCATGGTTGCATCTATGTGAAGAGGAGCAATAGGTTTGATCAACGCAATATCAACAGATGTATGCGTCAGCTTGCAAGCTTTGAGAAACATAAAACACCTGTAAGATACATCACATATATTTACACACACACACATGCACATGTGTATATAAGTTTGAAAGGCAAATGGGAAAACCCATGAAACAGCAAACGGCCATATAATGCGAAACAATTTAAAATAAAATAAAATAACAAATATGTTTTTGAAAAACAGATGGCAGCTAAATATTTATCCATGTTACCAGATCTCTAGAATTTCCATTGCTATTAAAATGAATTCTTTTCGTTGGTTAGTTTGATAGTCGTTGCTTGCCAGCTGAAGGACTTGATTTAATCGAAGTTAGAACTTCGACTTTTAATACAAATTGAAGTTGAAGCAACTACATACATAAATGCATACATTACAGCATTTATATAGCGCTATTCTAGTTTGAAGTCCTACTGTAGTTCATCTTAAGAATATGGTTTTAAAACCCAACTCTAGAGTGTTTGATCAGAATTTGTCTCTATGTTAAGCTACAATACATTGCAAGTACCTGGTTTTCACACACTGATATTTCAATATTTTCAATAATATAATTTTCATACAACAAATATCTTTACTTTCTGATTTCAATATATCTTTTCAGGTCTGGATGGTTATTTTTCCTGAAGGAACAAGATACAACCCACAAAAGCTAGAATTAATGACTTCCAGCCAGGAATTTGCTAAGAAAAATGGTAAATAAATGACTTCAGCAACAGTATTAACTGAAAATTATAATACATATACATATAAGGCATTATAAAAAAAAACAATAATTTGTAAGAAATTTTAACACTGAAATTACTATCTAACTTTGTCATTCAATGTTGAAGTGAAAATAGTTACCTAACAGAGTTGAAGTTCTTCGCTTCAGAAGGTTTTGGTATGGTAAAGGTTTAATACTTTTCTCAGCTTTGAATAGCACCATTTCTAAAATCTGACAGCAGTTCACTCATAAAATAGCCTCTTATCACATGACTAACCCAACACTGCCAGTCAAGGGACAAAAAGATTACTGCCACTTCAAGGCTGACAACAATGGTATTACATGCTGAAACTTTTATAAGCGAAAAACCAGAACTTTGGAGATCCCATATTTTATACTCAATAATGGTCTGTGCAACAACTGCTGTTTTGCTTTACCTCATATTCCCCCATTTCACAGAAAACTGTCCTTTAAATTGGGTTTCCCCTGAATATGGGTGCCCCAAATTAGGGATTTAGTGTATGTCCATTTTAAAATATGATTGATATAATTATAATTCGGTATGATGTCCCTTGATTCCAGATTTAGAGATACTTCATAACGTTCTGTCACCGAGATTTCGTGCAACAAATTTATGTATACAAGGTCTACGAAAGCATTATGACGCCGTATATGATGTCACAATAGCATATGGCGGCACAGGTGAACAGGTGGATGGTGAGGTCGATGTGGTTAACAGGACAACAGCACCTTCTATACCAGGTATTTTTGCATGTGCCCTTAAAGATCTGTTGTGAAATTATAAACTTAACATGAAGAAATGTCTACATTGATTTGAATTTTTTACTTTGTATGTTTATTAGCTTTCAATTATGACAACATATCGTCCTGGTTATCAGACGCATAATTTTTTGCTTAGAAATTTGCATTGACTGCTGCATTTGTTAAATCAAAATATTTTGTAGTAAACAGTCAATAAATCAGCTTAATCAGTTTAATTGTTTTTATCTGTGTCACTTTGTAATTGGTGATCCACTTGTTATTGTCAGAGATCATCATCTTCTTCTTCATCTTTTTATTCTTTTTTCTTTCTCCTCACTTTTGTGCGCACAATATCTCAAAATTGGCATGAGCTTGGCCTGGAATAGTCACAATAAGCTTTTCAATGTGACCAGTCATGTGTGACGTCATCTACGCGCAATTTTGCGTTTTTACATTATTGATCATACCATTATAACCAATTGTCATTCCTCAATCATATTCAGTGGGCATACATTTCAGGTCAAGTTTGAATATCACGTACGGTACCAAAATATTTTGCATATGCATCATAACGTGCGTGCACGAGTGTGTCAAAATTTCAAAATCACTTTTTTGACTAAATTAGAGCATGTTTCAGGCCATTTTGTGCAATTCAAACTTTTTTGAAATTTTCCTCTACCTGCGCGCACATATGGAAGCTAGAATTTATGTTTCTTTACATATTTTGGGTTCCTGACATTGTTTTCACAAATTTCCATTCTTTTCGGTCATCTTATGGCCTACTGTATAGCAATGTCCTATGCCCGCATCAAACATAGGGATCTTTGTGCACGTTTGTGCCGATATACAGTGAAAATATGCAAAAATCAGGCCTATTTTTAATCAGTTATATCTTCTTAGGATGAAAGGTGATCCCCAATTTTTATTCCATATTCTGAAAGCACATGAATTGTAGATATGATTTTATAGATCATAATGGCTGATCAGACATTGTGACGTCATAATATTGCCATCTGAATTTTAAAAAAAACTGAATTTTTATTTATGACGTCATTATTTTTATACTCCTTTGAACGTATCTCGCTTATTCTTGATCGATCGTCTCCCACCTGTGAGTATGTTATAGCTGAGACAATTCTCTTTCGGATGTGTCCCTTCATTTTCAATTTTGATGACGGCATCATGGTGAAAATGAATGTTTTTCTAACCTCTCCCCACCTCTTTCAATAAATCTTTGACGTACCGAGAAAGGGTGGAAGACTATTTTCTGCGGTTTGAAAATCCTGGCTACATTATTTTTCCATATTTCACTGTTAAGCGCTGCAAGATTTCTTTTGCCGGACAAGCAGATCACCTAACTTGTCCGAAGTGACAAGTTCAAATCTAGTTCGAGAAATTTTATTTTAAGAAGAGCAATTCAGTATTTTGATTTAATATTTCCGATCAAAAATCTTTTGAGGGTTTTACAGTTTTCTCAGGTCAGCACTACTATGGCTGGGGTGACCTGAGAACATTTTTTTAATTATCGATCACTAGATGCCCAGAAGGACCACTAGTCCTTACATTGTTACCTAGTTGATACATTGTTACCTAGTTATTTCTGTTTATTAATGAGTGGACACTTGCAATTGAGTGACTATAAATTACACTGAACTGAAATGGCACTTTTATCTTTAAAAAATGCTGTATAGAATTTCAATCACTTTTTAATACATTATTTTTTTGTTGAGTATCATTTTGTAATGTTGGCAAGATGTAGCGTCATGGTCGGCTGTAAAACGTCACGGTACAGTAACTCTTGGTCCTGGGGAGAACACTGTTTTACAGGGTTTGCCACAAATATATTGGTAGAATCACTTGCTTTTTTTTTTATCAAGACTAATTTGAAATATATCTACCCATGAGTGGCATGGTGTTTTGAGACATGTGCTATTTGTAATTTGTGTTTGTGTTGCCATACATACAGATTACCTGATGGGACAGTGTTCACGTGTGCATATTCATCTTAAACGACGCCCTCTGGATGAAGTTCCAGATGATGAGGAAGGGGTACACAGGTGGCTGCATGGCATCTTTGAAGAGAAAGACAGGTGCTTTTCGCGATGCGAAGATCGATGTGAAGTTTCTGCAGAGTTCAGTCAGGGCTCACGCTAACCGACCGGAAAGTCGGCATGGATGAAACTATTTTGGTTTTACGCCAAAAAAAATCAACTGCTGCAGGCATAGGTATTTTGAAGAAGGCCTAAAATAAAAGTAAAATGTTATAATACTTGCTGAAATGCAACGTTTTTTCATTTAGATCTCCATTTTCACTAAGTCCATGCGACGTTTTTTTCTGTTGTATACGTATGAGTAGTCATATGAAGGTACAGTACTATATCCCCGAAAGTTGGCTCTGCAGCAATGTACCCTTTGAATGCAAACTGAAAACAGGTGAAAATATAAAGGCAGCCGACTGTCGGGTACATAACGACTATCTAGCTTTCCACACAAAAACATGAGGCCTGGAAAGCTAGGCCTAGTTCAGTATTACTGCGATGCGAGGGTAGTTAGATCGTTCAATCAATGATATCGTGTTATCGTCTAATACAATTAAATAATGTGTGTAATATTTAAGAATGCACCACGTGGGTCGCTTTCTTTGTTATGCGGTAATAGTATACATAGCAGAGTGACGACAGCAAGCTAAGCCTAGCCCGGGGCCTAGACCGTGTACGTTCTTGATAATCGTAATGAAAACTTCGGGTGACAGACGATTGGGCCCAACTGGTGTGGACGATTGGACCCAAGATATTTTCAAATAAATTGTAGTCCTTAGCAGGCCACTGCCAGCACCCCCACTTCCGATAATGTTCCAAACTACTGTAAAATGAAAATACTGTATACCTAGCTAGGCCCTATGCCTACGATATTTTTTCAAAGAAATTTGCTAAAAATGTTACTGTAATTTGCTTGTCGAATTACATTACCAATGTGCTCTGAAATCACTATTTTGGGCATCACTATATGTATGTATTTATAAAAAATATATATGTATATTATAAGTTATATATTATATATATTTTATATATATACATACATATATGCATTATAACATATACATACTTATATATATACATATATACATACTTATTTATATACACATATACATTCTTATATATACACACACATATATACATACATATATATACATAATATATATACATACTTATATATATATATGTATATATATAAGTACATACATACTTATATATATACATACTTATATATATATATACATGCATATATACATAATTATATATCTACATATATACATATATATATATATATACATATACATACTTATATATATACATACTAATATATATATATACATATATACACATACTTACATATATACTTATATAGGCCTATATATATTATGTACGGTATGTATACATACATATATGCATTATAACATATATACATACTTAGTATTATATATATACATATATATATACATGTACGTACTTATATATACGTATATATATACTAGTGTTGTCCGAAAGCTCTTGTTCTATTTCTGGCTGTTTACTTACGTTTACTTTTTAGCTGTTGCTTATCATTTTTGTATCTCTACCGAGATCCAGCCATTGTTTCCCACAGCATTCATTGTTGTTTTTCAGTATTTTGCCATTTAATCTATATATACATACTTATATATATATATACACACACACATATATACACACATACTTACATATATACTTATATAGGCCTATATATACATATATATACACACACTTATATTCTTATATACTTATATATACACTTATATATAAGTATATATACACATATAAACATATATATATATAACATATATATATACGTATATATATATATAGCGATACATAGCCATAGTATACCCTTTCCGTTATTTACAATTGGCGTCTAACAAACGTGTTAACTTCGCAATTGCATTCGCGTGCATAAGCGGTACGGCAATTGGGTTATGCGCAACGATCCTGCTATTTACGGTACCTAACATAACATATCTAATTCAAATTGATATGCTTTCAAGATTGTTTACATTCGTATGTCTGTCATTTTCTCATATTAAAGTATACATCGAAGCAAAACGGCAAGTTTCGAAAATTTTTGCAATCAAAAATCCGTCGAGACATTGTCAAGAAACGGTGAAAAAAAGAAAAGTCGAGCACCGTGCGACGAAGACAACGATACTAGTATATGGTGCATACATGTTATGTTATATTCCGTATATATTGTATAGCATACAGTTTTTAATATCAACGTATTTAAAAAATGCGACATTTAAAGTCAACAATGCATTGTTCCGTTATTCCCTCATTTTTATTTATGCGAACGCAGGAATAAATCCTGTCTCTTATACACATCTAGATGTGTATAAGAGATCATTTGGGTAATTCCCTATCATTTGGGTATCATTTGGGTATCATTTGGGTAATTCCCTATCATTTGGGTATCATTTGGGTATCATTTGGGTAATTCCCTATCATTTGGGTAATTCGTCGGACCCGAAAATCTTGCTACGGCATTGTTGCTAACCTCTAGATCCGAGCATGAAATCCAAGCAGGCCTATTCATCGACACGCATGAATAGATGGAGTACGAAAGTGGCCAAAGAACTGAATATGAGTCATAACCTACATCAACAATGTCAAAAAGAAATTAATTACAGTAACTAAAGAAAGATCTGATTGCTTTGTGTTAAAAAAATTGAATCTGCCTACTTGCCAGTGGTGGCGCCAGCGGAGGGCACGGGAATCCCCTCGTTGTCGTTCCCCCCCCCCCCCCCAGCCAATCGACGAACGAATATTAATTTGCCTATCCATATATTTTGATTGCCAATCCCTAATATTGCGGCCTAAAAGCACAATTTTGGGCCCTTGCTATGCCATAAAAATTCTCCTCATGAACTATACAAAAACTATTTATTCCAGGACCCTAATCGAAACTCAAGTCGGCCCCTTCTTTCGAACCCCACTTGGGGCAGATGCGGAATTTGGCGGTAGGGTGCGTAGGAGCCCACGCCAGCTCAGCCCCTCCATGGTTGGGGTTGAGGTGAGAAAATTTTGACAATATAGACCTGTAGGTGCCTGGAAATTGCACTCTCATACTTTAAATATCTTACAGGTACTGTGTTCATAATGATAAAAATAATATACAAAAATACAACAATAATTGTTTTTCTTAATACAATTGAGGGTGGTGCGATCTCACCGTCTGCACCCCTTTTGTATCCGTCCCATCCACAGTCGGACATGTCTGATCACTCGTCGACAAATTTCTGGAGCCACCAATGCTACTTGCTTAGCAGATTATTTGAAGATGAAATTCATATTTATCTCTCAGCATTAAAAAAGGCACTATTGATTACGTCATTTACAATGAGGGAATTTAATAAAATGCATTTAACTTACTTGTAGAATTTCAGGCGATCATTATTATAGAATTTTAATTTAAACTTATAACACTTCATAATATTTGAGGAAATACTATTCAGACATTGTATAAATAGGTTTAATAAGGACAGAGGAACTAATGCAAATGACTTTGAAAGAGTAGAAGAGGAATCTGAAAGAAGGAACGCACCAAAAATTGATGACATGCTGATAAGCCTCTGCCAAACCTACATCAAATGCCCTATTTGTAGATTTTCTCTCAATATTTACAATTTACATACATTTATGCACCCCCAGCAAGACTTTTCAGACTGTGGTCCCAAATTAACAATGTCTTCTGTAGATAATTTTAAAACTTTTGTTCCAACATGATAATTATCACTTTAACACGTTCTTCAGCCAACCGTTAAATGGTTGCTGTTGTTCCACGGTCTGTGACACTTGGCACCAGGGGCGGAGCCAAGATTTGCCCGACAGGGAGTCAGAGATCCCCGTTTGGGGAGGGGGAAGGGGAAAACTGATATCCCCAACGAGAAAAGAATGGGCGTGGTCGGGAGGGGCAAGGCCTCCCCGACGGGTCCCACTGCCACCCCCTCAATGCCGTCACTGCTTGCAGTGGCGTCACAGAGTTTGTGGGGCCCTGGCGCTGACTGTTACTGGGGCCCCTAATAAGTAAGCAAAGCGAGCAAACCGAAGCTAGGAGCCAATCGGAGCTTATGTCATTTTGAACTGTTAACTGATTTAAAAGAGAACATAGAATGGTCCATGACTGATGAAATATTTCAGACAATTTTATGACAAAACCAACATAGATTACATTGGCCAACTTTCGGAACTCGTATAGGCCTACAGTAGGCATGTACTCTATGTAGGTGTAAATAAATACAAATAATATTTGAGTAAGAAACAAAACATGTTTTAATAACGTATATACAATGCAAATCAGATTCATCACAAAATCAGAAACAAACGTCGAACATCAGAACCCAGCTTTCATTGTTTAAAATTGTCGGGACCCTATTGAATAAAACTATAGTATTATAGTTTATATTATATTTTTTTTTAAACTACAATGTCGGTGCCCCTCGTGCCTGGGGGCCCTGGCGCTCCTCCCCGTCAGCGACGAGAAAGAAACAATAATTTTGATATGTATGTATGTTTTATGTTATGTGTTGATTGGACTTAGTTAATGATGTTACAGTTTAAAATTCATATTATGATAACAACTTGTTCATAATATACGGTAACTTATTCTTATGTTTGTGTTAATTGGTCTTAGTTAATAGTATTACAGTTTAAAATTCATATTATGATAACAACTTGTTCATAATATAACTTATTCTTTAAAGGAAGCAGAATAATGCAATTATTTCCACAACTGACTTTGACCAAAACCAAACTTGATTGGTGTGATTTTACTTCCACCAGGAAATTAATAAAATATGCATATGCCTAATTGTCTTTTGTGATTTTAAAACAACGAAATATAATAAAATTATATATGCCTTCCAATACGGTTATAAGAATCAACGCACATTTATATTCTCTCTGTGATTGCTTTTTAATTAACCATACATCGTGACATATGAATTTAATAAAAAGCTCAACAGTACATCGCGCAGCCGATTTAATTACAGTCCCTTTTAATTAATAGTCAGACAATGCAAAAATGTATTGTAGTTTTATCTATGTTTTTGTCTTTGGTTTAGGTAGGTGGCATTTCTGACAAAAAGAGTTAGAATTTGCCAGACCACCAGGAACTGCAATCACTTTATATTTCTTTTTAAAATATCATTTTATCTCTCACCCTGATATTCGCCATGGCGAACGGTGCGAAGGTCTGGATCCGCGCCTGTATATATTGGTTGAAAGTGTACCATAGCAATATTATTTTTCGTTTATAGGTCTAATCTTAGATTTTTTCAATGTCAAAAGGCAACATACGAAAATAACAATATTGTGAGTAACAAGCTTTCTCTTGAATAAACCTGCCTGTTTTGAATTTAAAGTGTTTAATTATTTTGCTTCATCATAGCCCTAACTAATGTTTTTAAAAAACATATTTTTAAACTATGTGTGTTAGATTACTACAACGGAACATCATTAAAATTTGTTTATAATGGAGAAATAGCAAATTTTTCCCGGGCCCCCGGCCCCTGATCCCCGACCTGGGGCCTTTGGAGGGCCTCTGGCCCCCAGCATCAATGTGACCTCTGGGAAAAATCAAAATTCCAAAGATTGAGTTTTAAAAATCTCAAGATTGCTTTAAAAATCTCAAGATTGCTTTAAAAATCTCAAGATTCGCAATAAGTATATATAGGCCTACATACAACTTCTTTTAAAAGTACAAAATTTGAAGCTTTTCCAATGAATTTCATTATTCTCTACTGTAATTGTACTGTATAATAAAACAGTGTCTGGATTTTCGAGCTCAACTCGTTCGTTTTGATTCAACTGCGAATAATTTTCTGAAGGCGGGGGTTGTTGGTGGGGCATGTCTTAAATGAATTAAAATCATAACATAAACAAAATGGCAGGTCAATTATCTTTACTTTATTTGTATTACACAGAATATATTTCAGTAGCATCTCATACTTAAATAGAAAAAAAGCGTTTATTTTTATAACTTGTTTTTTTCGGGAGAAGTGTGAGGTGGTAAGAATAAAGTATTTTTGATGAATTTTAATTATTTGAAATTTATTTAAGCAGGATAAAATCACATCGAAGAAAGCTTACAACTACAAAGAGATAATACACTTAACTACATTGTTATTATTAACAGTGGTCCTGAAACACAAATATAAAAAGGTATGACCAATTGATAAATATTAAAAGCAATTCTTACAATAATAAAAACACAATGAAAAGCATTTGCAAATTATGAGACTGTGCGAGATGTGGCATCTAGGCGCAATTATTTCTTGTTAACTTTAGCCCTACGTACTGAAGTAAACAGCATATCCGCCAATGGGACACATATTAAGAGAATTGGCTTAAAAATGCATCTCACTTTTTTTGGAAAATGATTAAACAACGGCTTTTCAGAAGAAATGAAAAACGTGTGGGTCTTATTTTGAACAAATAAAGAACCCTCATTCACACCAGGCCCGTATCCAGTAGGATTTTTAAGGGAAAACCCCCTCTTTTTTGGCGAACCCCACTCTTCAAATTTCCCAAGTAAGTCCTCCGAGACCCAACTCGGACCCACCCAAACACAGGCGTTTTCAAACATATCTGCTTTCATAACATTATATAGGTTTTCGGCGATCCCACCGGGGCTTCGACCGTAGACCTCACGCCCAGAAACCCCCCCCCACCCCCTTGGAAGAACCTGGCCACGGGCCTGACAAGTGTCAACTATGGTGTTATAATAAGGCCATTAGCAGCCTATTTGTTCATTTATTGATAGAAAAAAATTATAAATTACATATCATTCCAAAAACCCCAAGATTTAATGAAAAGTTAACAAAAAATCCCAAGATCACAAGGTGCCATTAAAAATCCCAAGATTTTGGGATAAATCCCAAGCAGTGGTCACAGTGCCCAGCATAAGTGCTCGCGCTTCGCTGGCGACCTGACCACTCTAATGGTGTACCCCTTTTACACTGCCAAAGTCAGAATCGACCCAGGATACTTCCGGAGTAATCCCGGATGCATTTCATATTTATATCGAACGAAAAAGTCCAGGTTGATCCCGAGTTGCTCCCATTCTCGTGGCTACGGCCCTGGCATGTATTTCTACAAACGTGCAACCAAAATCACTTTGAGATGCGAGACGGTTCAAGTATGGAACTACGTGGGATTGTGTCTTGTATCTGTATTTTTTTCAATGCACAGTATACAATTTGGTAATTTTATTGGTTTTGTTTTAGTGTTGATTGAAAATGCTTAATTACTGATATTGTATTGCCAGTCTACGATTATTGGTTTTTTCTGTTAATTCCGGATTCACTGTTTCAAATGCTCTTCTCCTCTGAGCAGGGAAATACCCTTTCGAATCCAGTAGGCTTATATACGTCTACTTCTCGGAATCGATTCTAGTTTAATCGATCATCCCAATTCTATGTAAATGATACCGCAGTCAAACCGAGGAAAGGTTGCAAGATCCGATTAAAAGACGCTCTGAATCGATAAAGTTACTTTTCAGACTTATTAACTTAAAACGCAAACGGACAAAAATATAGTTTTCGATGAACTAAGGTAGGCCCCTATTAGATGAGATAATATTTATTGGTCCAAATGTATAAATACAGGTTGGAAATTTGCTTCCATTGGCGTGTGAAGTAAATCAAAAATCATATGAAACAAAGATAATAATTCATCACAAAATAGTACCGTACATTTAAAAATAGATAAAAATACATTCCATTTAAAATTCAAATTTAAGTGAACAAAGCACACACACAAATAAGGCCTTATCGTTCTTAGGAGGAAAGTATTATTTAACTGCCTTTAATTGACGGGGAATCATTCGAAATTTTAAGTGTAGGCCTAATATTAATAATTGTTACTTCATATGAACGAATAACAGAGCATCTAAATTCAACATAATAATAATTTAAAAAAAAAGAATGCTGCATAGCAGGATAATTAATTATATTTTTGCTGGTACTGTATTTGTTTTTCTCATTGATGTTCCGAGATATGTCCCGAGATGTGTCCTTGTTGAATTGCCTTGATTTGAGGTTCATAAACAACACCCATGACCCGTGGTCGAATATAATTTGTCTTTCATATTTTAAATTTTTTTAAATTTTTTATGATAATACATTTATTGTTGTAATCTTTTCTTCCTCATTTGTATTAACTGATTGTATTTACTGTCTTGTTTGTTCCCCCTTGTTTTATACTCGTAATCCGTGGCGGATCCAAGATGCGGGTGGGGGGATGCTGAGGTAGTACAGATCCTCCGTTTGTGAAAGAACCTCTCTATTTTAAATTCCTGGATCCACCACTGGTAATATAGGGGCGGGTCATTCCCGGTCGAATGTATGACTACACAAATGGTTATAGAATTCGCCTCTGGGGACAGTTCAAACGCCCTCTACAGTTGGTCCCAAAATCATGTAAATTCAACTTTCAAGTGGGCCGCCGATCCGAGAGATTTGCATTTGTTTTTTTGGAGCGATAGAATTGTGTAGAAGATGTGGTGGTGTTGATTCATTGATAGGTCATAGTACTGTCAATTTTGAGTTTTGTTGCTATATAATGCTTTGTAAAGCATTTTTGGTAATGGCCGTTTGCCACGATTTACCGGTGTTACCTTTGGATAGACATATTCCTAAAAATGTGCTGTGTAGGAGAGGCGCAATTTCGTTCAGCTCAACTTCATCACTATTCAAGAGCCTTCCACGACTGGAGGTAAGCTCTTCAGCCATGTCAACATTCAAAAGGCCTATCGTTTTGCAATTGTAACTCGCTTCCTTTTAGCATTTGGGAATATTTATATAGGTTGATATATTTGCTGGGAATGGAAAATAAGCATTGGTCCCAAATGCCTTGACTTGTTAGAACTAGCCTAGAGTAGACTTGGCCTAGGCCTAGGTAGCCTATACTAGAAAGAATTGAGATAGGCCTAGGCCTAGTGTTTCTAGTGTTAGGCTAGGCCTAGGTCTAGTGAATAAGTTAGTCGAGATGAGAGAGTAAAGCTACGTTCAAACCAAAGCCGGGCAAACAATCGTGAAAAATGAGTTCAGTGGTAAAGAATAGGACTGTTCAAATCAAATTCGTACGATTTTAAATCCAGACTCCAGATCCGGACCGATTGATTGAGAGCCATTTGTATCGTGAAATCGTATGGTTTTTTTTCCCTTGGACCAATCAGCAACAAGCTTGGTTGTTGGTTCGAACCAATCGAACGCATATGTTCTTAACCCGAATAACCGTGTTCCGTGCGCGATGTGAACGCAGCATTCAAAAACGTAGCAACTCACGATCTTTTGTCCGTGCTCCGGACCGGATTCGGGCTTGATGTGAACGTAGCTTAAGGCATAACAAATGCACCTTTTCTATCTCAATTATTATTTTATTACCTAGTAAGCAATGAGTAGTGGTGTTGTGTATGATTTTATTATGCTAATGCCATGGTCGTTTTTATGACCTTTTGTTGCTCAAAAGGAACTACAGTTGGCTATTAATCATTAGTTTTGCATTTTATTACAGCGAATTGTTTGACTTCATCCAAGTTTTTCATATTATTATTTTTTACTCTACTACAATGCTGTTTTCAACAATAATATATAAATCATTTATAACGTTTTTTACACAGAATGGCCAGCCCAACAAGAAAGATTCCATATTGGGGATGGTTGACCAATTAACCCTGGGGAATTCCATTTAGGGCCATCTATTGGGGTTTAGGAAAAAGCCCACTTAATGTTGAAGCATTCTGTTACTACAGGACA